AATGATAAATCATAAATGATGCAACAGTAATAATAAGGATTATGGATGTAAAATAATATTTCATCTCGACACATGTCAGGTGTGTTCCAAACTACTGTGAGCACAGCGGCCGCTGCTCTCAGACGTGGGACGCATTCACCTGCAACTGCAGTGGCACTGGCTACACTGGAGCTACTTGCCATACCTGTAAGTGCAGTTATACTCTGGCATTTGTTTAATTAATGGTAATCCTAATGTTATGTTAATCATAAGACTAGTTTTTAGTTAGTTGGTTATTTCATGATCTATTTGCTCAGGTTCCCTGAAAAATGTTAGATTCTTTAAAGATGCTCGCATTATTTATCACGTTCATTCTTTTAGGCTGAAGGTAGCTGTGAACATTCGTGTTTTTGTTTTTTAATCTCTGCCCACTCAGTGGTACAGTCAGGGCAACCACCCAGATCCTGTTAGCATCTAGTTCTAAGGCTTTCATTCTGCATTTATCCATCAAATACACTGTTCCTCCCTTTATTCAAATACTGTACCATTATTATTACTACCAATATTTTCCATGCAACCTTACATGGCTGCAGACACAAGTCACAATACTGTGAGGTACCAGCAGCAGTCGTTGAGGCTGCCAGTAGAGTAAATTCCTGTGACTGAACTGAGTGCCCAGGGTTACTTTTCTAGACGTTTTCCAGCTCTGGGCTGCTGACTTGTGTCACATTGGTCCCAACTTTTTGGCTTTTGCGTCTGACTATGGTGAAAATGGATGCACACAGACAGACTATACCTTGCTTCCCCTGATAGCACTGTATCAGCAATCATGTGAGGAGTATAAGCACCAAGGCAAGAGTTCGGGGAGCTACTGGATAGACCCAGATGGCAGCGGCTCTATAACCCCCTTCAGAGTCCACTGTGACATGACAGGTAAGATATTCAATCTTTATTTAAACCAGCATGAAGAATATATTCCAGCACAAATGACTTCATGTTTATCATGTGACTGATTGTATTTAGGTAAATCTGTGATGTAGAAGGAGCAGAGAATATTTACATGTCGGTTGTTTTTCTTAGAGGATGTGGTTTGGACCACGCTGAGGAACGACCTGTCTCCTCAGACGTCAGTATCCAGTGCAGACAAGGGCAACGCAGTGCTGCAGATTTCTTACAATATGACTGAGGAACAGGTACACACTTAATGTTACACACTCCATTTCCTACATGTACTGCACTTTTTGTTTTTTAACAAAACAGTTTGCTAACAATAAACATGCAGACACAAAACTGAAGTAGAAACAAAGTTCATCTTCTAAGCATTGTTAATCGACTGTTCAGCGTTACAGATATTTTGGGGAGAAGTCCAACGATTCGATGGGTTCATAAGCAGAATCGTGTTGGTCGTACGGGGCTGGCTGCTTGAGTCACAGGTTTTTATAGTCATGTTAAACAGTTGAACCTGTTCAGGACTAGATGGCTTTAATCAGTCAACAGTGCTCTAAACAATAAAGAAGAACCCAGCTGTTCGGTTGGTTTTCATTCCAACACACGTCACAGACCATAAATATCACAGACTAAGAAATGTTCTTAGCAGACAAATGACAAATCAGCATTCTCGTGTCTGTCTCGTGTGTCCAGATGTTGTCAGTAACCAGCAGTGCAGAGTACTGTGAGCAGTACGTCGCCTACGCTTGCCGAATGTCCCGCCTGCTCAGCGGTCCAGGTGATGATGCCTATTATCGACCTTTTCACTCACTATAAAGAATGTGTTTACTCTGTTCATCAGACTGCTCATCATTATTATCATAACACATACTGTAAACATTAAAGTGATATTTTTGAATGGTGCGTGTGTTCAGAAGTGTTTAAGTAGCAGTACACTGTAGCTGTTTGGTTCGACCTCCAGATGGCGTCCCTTTCACTTGGTGGTTAGGAAGAGCCAATGAAAAGCATTCTTACTGGGGGGGTTCAGGACCAGGGATCCAGAAGTGTGCCTGTGGTATTGAACACAACTGTACTGATTCCAAACACTACTGCAACTGTGATGCAGACCTGCGTGCCTGGTGAGTGTACCCTCACTCAGCCGCTCAGCTGAGCTGTATCGTGTTACAAACTAGAGTTTATAGTTTCATCCTGTAGGTCAGGGGTCGGCAACCTTTCTGATGATGAGTGCATCTAAAGTTTCCTCAGAAGTCAGAGTGCCATATGATTGCATTAGCAATAAATTTAATAACGCTCTATATTAACAGTTACACACTATATAGAAAAACTTTACAGAATTATATTTGTGCACAGATGTTGGCAGCTGTCAGCGAATAGTTATCAGCTATTTGGAAACAAAAAAAGACTTTTTATCCATAACAGCAAATGGACTGTACAAAAGAAAATGCAAATGCTATTTATCCTCACAACAATGAAAACAGACGCTGTTGTGACAGTGATGTACAGTCTTGTTGGTCTATGTATGATTTCTATACATTTTACATCAGACAAAAACTTTGGTTGTAAGATTTAGATAATTATTTAAACACACCACACACACACACCACGCACGCACGCACGCACGCACGACGCACGCTACACGCACACGCACCCCCACACACACACACACACACCACGCACGCACGCACGCACACACACACACGTATTTCATGTTGTTTCATAGACAAAATATATTTTATATCTTGTGGTTATTTTCTATAGCAAACTTCCG